AGGCCCAAACACACGGCAATATCCCACTCAGCAGGACGACAGAGCTGGTGGATGAAGCCTTTACCTCGCGGTCGAGAAAATTTTGAAGCCTCTTACCTCGCGATCGAGGAAAAGAAGAAATCGATGCCGCGGTTTCCTTACTCAGTTGAACCTTACTCACTGAGAAGAAGAGAAAGGACTCCGGTTCTATAACTAAACCGAAGACCATTAGTACCGGGACAAAAAACAAAGCAATGCGACGGTCCCGGATACATTAAAATTATATTCGAAAGAGGCAAAAGAACGCTGGGAGAATGAGGAACCGCGTGTCAAACAATTTTTCAAAATACTTGCGGAATTGGCAAGAATAGTGCACCGGAAAAAGTATCCCATCAATATACCTGCCAAGAAAAATATGGGGGTTTAAAAACGCGTGGCGGGAAGTTTCCCGGGCGGCCGAGTTGTTATCGTAATTAGTTGTTTATTTAGATATTATTATTATTGATAGACTACTAATGGTTTATCTATGGGGTGGCGGTGTTTATCTTGTTCTTTTCGTTATTTTCTTTTACATACTGTTCCAGTAGATCATTCATTCTTCTCTATTTCTTATTCATGTATTTCTGATTGGCACTTCAAACTTAATCACATACTGTCAATAAAGATATCAATCTTTGGTATTTTAATCCATTAGTCCCAAATTTCGAATGAATAGCCCCATCGTTTAAAGTGCGCTAAGATGAACAGGAGCAATGGTATTTGCCAGCTCACGCTTAGCTTATTAGGTCGCTCATCTCCCAAGCAAACATATTGTATATGCGAAAAAGGAAATTGGTGAAAGGGGAGATGGATATTTAATGTTGGAATTTGGTGATATCCATTAACGTTAATGATATATTCTTGTTGCATCCAGCGCTCACTTCTTCTCTAAAAACCTTCTCATATTAAACCAGTTTTATTAGTTACAATAATCAATTTTCAAAAGCGGAAACTAACTGTTGAGAGGTCTTTCCCGCTTTCCATTTTGGTAAAACAGAAAAGGAACGTATCCAGGCTCAAATGTCAGTAGCGCGTCTGATAAATTGACATTACTATCGCTACTATTACAAAAGAGAACCTTTGTTCTCTATATTAATATGCTGTCAACACACCGAACTCGCCGGCTGTTAAACCAGCCAATCTGGATAAATTACCAGCATCGAATGATACGCAGAAAAGAGCCGTTCCTAAAATATAATCGAACTTGTTGATATTATTATTATGATTAATAATAATTTCAATATTCTATTCCCTCATCCAACAATCCCATCCGACCCTCGAAGACATGCACGATTCTCTTCCTCGTCTTTCCACCGCCGGACACTGTACAATCGGCTATCAGTCCAGGAATTCACACTCGCTTTCTCAATTGAGGGTTAACAAAGACTGCTCATGTCTCTCGCCAGGCCGCATACCACGATCCAATAACGAGTGGATCCCGGCGGGCTCTATAGTCATGGATGCTGAGAACGTTGGCGGATGCAAAACGATCCCATTTTTAATTATTATAAATAACGTACCAGTGTCGCAAATTGACGCTGGCGCGACCTGAATAGAGAGATGGGAAGGTGTGATCTGAATGGAGATCCACACGTGGGAGGAAAGCAGGTGTATTAAACGAGGAGTAAGCAGACACTATAGTTAGTTCAGTAATATTCTCATAGATCACAGTATAGCGATTGTTCTTCTCTACTGTGAGAGAGTTGCCTTCATTTGTAATCTTCAAATAATAATAAAGTCATTTTGCATCGATAAAATACACTTACCCAATATGTTAGAATGATTGTATGTACCGTGGAAGCTCCGGTTATTAAAAAGCCAAGGGAGATTTTTACATTATTGTTATTGTTTGGTTGATGCCTCTAAAGTCTCGTGCGGGCTCAATAAATAAGTCACCATCGCCAGTAAAGATCCCTGTGCCTAATCCCGGTTGAAAGATGCACAAAGCATTGTTGATTATATTATGTACCGCAAATTGGAAGGTCGGTTCCTTCATATATTTGTGGGGGCCAGATAGTGTGTTTCAATCATCTTCCGTAAACAGGCAATCGCATAGTAATAGTTCAGACTATACGTGGGTCTTTTCGCAGTCTCTTAATCGCATTTGGGTAGCTTCTACTTGTTATAGAATAAAACAATCGTTACTATCAGAAATGATATTTGATTTGACCAGATGTGTCAGGTGTAGTATCGTTATGTGAAGTTTTCTGTATCTTAGTTGTAAATGTTTCTAATATGGTCGGCATTGGACTTGGAGTTACGCACCTAATTCCGTATCCCACAGTTATCTTCTCGCTCCAATTCAGCCAAACCCCTCTTTTCGATTCCATATTCTGCGTGATCGATGACTGAGTAAAGTATTCTATGATACAGTGCTGTTCGAATATATTTTTCAGTTTTGTATCTCGTCAGCCTGAATAAGGGTGACCAATTTTGCAGCTTAATGGTAGCATTTTAAGGAATAAAGCTTTTTTGTTTATCGAGCACTTACCATCTTGTTTTCCCGTTGACGCCCATGGATTATTCTCGAGGCCAGACGGTAGTGCGCTAATCGGATGCGGTTGTTACTCGTTGTTAGGAAGCTTTGCCATTAGAGTGTGACATACTTGATTCTTCCATCTAATCTCCATTCCAATCGCCTATATCCAATTACAATTGTCATAGTGAGTAGATTCACATGCAATGAAATATACTGATTCAACCCTTACCAGAAAAAGAACACTGCCTGCTGATTACATTCTCAAGTTACGCTTCCACCCCAAGACGTCTAGCTTTGTGTCTGGAATAAATTACTTGCAGTTTCCTAGAGTATCCCATCGTTCACTTCCCTTCTGGCTGTTCCGATGTTACAAGAACTGAATAGCATAACCTTATTCCATTTCACATCTTGCTTGTAAAGTATAGTCATGCTCAGGAGAAATAACCGTTCCTCTACGGTATCACTAATGCTGATCGCAAAGCGAAGCCTGATAAAAAGGAAGCTTAATTTAGTGCGCAACAAGAGGATCATATCCCATGTTGCAAGAGACAGAGAGGAAGGGACGATACCAATTCATACAGTTCATTACATACTGCGTGATCGATGATCGGGTAAAGTATCCTACCCATCTATATATACAGTGTTGT